GAGTGACACAGGCCCAGCCTGGACCCCCGGTCAGAGTGACACAGGCCCAGCCTGGACCCCCGGTCAGAGTGACACAGGCCCAGCCTGGACCCCCGCAGAGCGCTTGAACTTGGCAGACAGGGTCACTGGACGTCACCGCGTATGGTCACATGATAACCCAAAAAACAAGGCGCTATATTTCGGGAACGAAAGCGGCACAAACGCTACTTTCAACGGCACAAACGCAGCACTAACGAATGAGACCGGCTCGGTTCCCCTACGACATTGTAGGGGGGGCTTAGTGACGTCACGACCCGGAAAAAAGAAAGCGCTATATCTCAGAAACGAAAGCGGCACAAACGTAGCACTAATGAATGAGGTGGGTTTCATCGTTTGTGCTGTCTGCAGGGAGGCTAGCTTCACTGAGCTGGCTGGAGCCCAAATGAGTCCGAGTGAAAGAGAAGGTGGACACGCTGGCTGCCCAGAGGCGCAGGGAGACGCTGACCTTGTCGTTCTTTTCCTCGATCTGAGCCATCTTCTGCTCGATCTTCTTCTTCTTTTCTTCCTCCTTCTGCTCCTCCCTCTCACGCGCCTCAATCACCTTGCGCAGCCGCTCCTCCCGTTTCCTGCAGGCAGGGACAGTCAGGAGGCACGGGACAGAGTCAGAGACCAGAGAGGGAAAGACGTACAGGGGCAAGGAACAGACAGGACAGATAGAGGCACAGGCTGAGGAAGATGGGCAGCTCCTGAGGCTTCAAAACAAACCTTTTCATCTCCTCCAGCTTCCTCCTCTTCTCCTCCTCCATCTTCTTCTTCCTCTCAGTCTCCTGCTCCTGCTTCTTCTTCAGAGCCTCAAACCTCTGCCGCTCCCTCTCCTGAGAGAAAGGCCACAGCCCATCAGGGCTCTGCTCGGCACCCCGCACACGGCGCCCCGCACACACCCTACACGCTTACACCACGTGACACCAGAACTCCCAGGTGAGTCAGTAATCGTGTCAGCTGCTCTAGAGGCAGTGGGATTACACTCAAGCAGTCTGCAGCCCAGCTCTCAGCCAGGACCGATGACCGGTCGGGGGCTCCTGGGCCACAGACTGCCGAGCGGGTCAGAGACGCGTCACACACAGAGCCCAGGGCAGGGGTCAGTCTGTTAGAGCAGTGAACACTGAGCACAGGGACTTACCACCACGCTGCCAGCCTAGGGGAAGAGACAAGACAGAGCATCAGAGGTCAGACGGGCCCTGAGGCAGGTCGCAGTTCACGGACTCCCCAGACGACCTGCAGAACCCCTGTCCTTCTCAACACAGCAGCCAGGCACCAGAAGGCCTCCTGCGCAAGCCCTCGGACCCGAGGCCACCCGTGGCCACTCACCTTGGGGTCTGCATGCAGGGGGGTGGTGTGCTTGATGAAGGACTTGAGGACGCTGCTGCGGCCCACCGAGCCGGGGGTCATCAGCAGCTGGTTCTTGTGCACCGTGTGCAGGAAGGACTTGATGTGTGGCCGGGTGACCTGGGGCAAAAGGCGGGCGAGAGCCGGTGAGACGGCTGACCAGGACAGTGAGCTGACCGCTGTGGGCGGCCGGACGACGCTCTTACACTCTGGCTCTTCTTGGGAGGGGAGGCCTTCTTGGGGCTGGGGGTGTCCTCAGCTTCGGCGGACTTGCGCTTCGAACCCGGGCGCGGCCTGCACACACAGGGACAGGTCAGAGGCGTGGGGGGAGCGAGGCAGCCGCTGGCGCCGAGCTCTGCAGAGCGAGGACACTCACCTGAGACGGGTGTGAGACTCAGCCGGCTTCTTCCCACTGTCGTCTGCAGGGAGAGAAACAGCCCGTTACCCCTCCTGCCACACCGGCCCCCGAGCAGACGGGGCCAGGGCCCAGTCCGCAGACTGGCAACAAGCAGAGAGGCCCTGGGGAAGAAGCACCCTGATGCCACTACTTCTGGAACCATCAACACACTGCCCGCCCCCCCCAGCGAACAGGGACCCTCAACACACTGCCCGCCCCCCCCA